GCTGTTATGAAGCAAGCAGGGAGCTTCCTCACAAAATTAGCAGGGACCATGCCAAACATACTGTCACTTAAAAAACTGGTGGCTGGAAGCAACAGAGAATCATCTTAACAACTGAGCATTCACACTGGTTCTTTCCATAGCTGCATCTGTTCCGCAAATAAAGGTTCCATACCAGAAGTTCTCCTACTCCTTCAAAACCATCTTCCTTTCAATGGAAAGGGAAAAAGGCAGCAGTCATTCCAACAGGAATATCTGTCAGTTGCAGCATTAGCTTGTAATTAAATCTGTCAATAGTCCTCAGCCCAGAAGGGTTGTTTGTTTGTTTGTTTCAAAGGTAAGTTTCAAAACACCAACTGCCCGCATAGGATAACAGATGTAAAGTGAGAAGCCTCTGCTTTGATTTGGGTGATCTGCACTGAAGTGAGCATCAAGTCAGATCGCAGATTCATAGCTTAAAACCATTGCACTATGGCATTTCACTGCCATCAACACGCAGCATCTGTTCTGCCCTATGTCTGGCAGACTAAAAAGCAGGTAGCATAAAGATCCATTAGGATATCTCTCAAGTTTGCAACTACTTTTACACAAATCTGTGATCTACAAGCAGGATGCTCTTCCCCTTCACCCTCAGCTCATGTGTATCTTCTTGCTTTAAATTCTAATGAATAATTTGTTGATTCTTTCCCCAAAGAACTATCAAACATGTATTTTCTCTCCTCTCCTAATGCCTTCTAGCAAGATCCAAAAACTCCCTTATTTTTTTACTAACCTAGGCACTCTCTGAAACTAAAAGCCCCACAAACTGTAAAAAGCAACATGTGGGTCATGTTGCATCAGCACCATACTATTTCTGCCAGTAATACAATGAATGTGTTGGATTTGTCTTACTTCAAGAGAAATACTAAGCCTGAAACAAAACCTTGTTTTGCTTCTTACTGGTCAGGGAATTACTGGTCAGGGAGTTTAACACCATTATAATGCATCCCTAATTCAGCAGCATCTAGAATGACTTCTAACAAGCAGGGAGATAGATTAACAGACTGTAAAGAAAAGCAGCATTTCCTTATCTCAAAGAGGCAAACTAATAACTAAAACGGAAATAAGGTAAATCCAGAAACAAAACAAGCAAACAAGCAAAAAGGCAAGAAATATAATTAGTTATAATGTGAAAACTGGGGAAAGAGATTTTTTAAATTTAATTTGTTACCCACTACTATTGGGCAGTGCTCCCCATTACAAACTGTAAGGAACTTGCAGTATCATTGCAAGAAAACCTGAGATACTTACAAAAACTAATAGCAGCAACAGTCCCTACCTTCTTAAATCCTATACATAATTTCATGTCCCAGTCTCTCTCTTCACTTTTCCTACTGCAACCACAACTGCAGTAACTTCTTAGCTGGACAAGCAGGACAAGGTTATCACTTTCAAGATCCTGAAATCAGCGCTAATCCCTTTACCAGGGACATGGTAGAAGAGCTCATAGCCATCAAACTGATGGCACCTCACTGGTGTATATAGCTCTATCTCACACAGCTGAAGAATCTCATCATGAACGACAACATTCTGGGTACTAAACAGCACAATAAACCAAAACAGAACTATCACATAAGCAGCATGTTTAACCGGCATGACCGTTTTAACCCCTGTTAAACCTCATGGGATTTATAAGCTAGTGCCATTACATATTTAAATAAATAATCTAAAACAAGTGGCTTCAAGCTAAACCAGAGTTGTACAGCCACAGAGCAGAACTGGTCAAGAACGGATGGTCAAGGACAGGTATAAGAACAAGGCAAGCACATCACTGCCCTTCCTTAAATCCCACAGATCCTGGAACCTCCAAGATTTGCAGCTCTGAGATTTTCTGAGCTAGAAAGCACATTGCTGTGGTTAACCGATTTTTCTTCCACAGCTAAAGCACTGCAATTTAAGACCATTCTAACTGGAGTTAGAACTTGCTGCATTATTTAAAAGCACTACGGCACTGCAGGACACTCTGAATTCCCAAACTCGGGCCGAACAAACTCTTACAGCAACCCAGCTCCAATCACCTCAACCCCCTGAAGCTGTACCTAGACCCTGCTGTAGTTTTTCCACGGACAAACATCGGAGAGTGTGCTGTCTCGGGTAAAACAGTCCTTTGGGTACATTTACTGAATGTTTTTCTCCCCAACTCTTCACACTAAGAAACCATAGCCTTCTTCCTCAGACGAAATAGACTCTCACATCATCATCAAGAACTCCGATTAGCACGAATTACAAAAGGAGCTGAGGTATACAGCTCATGGGGATTTCCTAAGCAACTTCAAGTCATAAATATTAAAAAAAAAAAAAAGCACAAACTTTATTTTGACAAGTTCTTTTGGTGCGGTTTTTTCCTCTTTTTCTTTTTTTTTTTTTTAAATGCATTACTACAGTGGCGAGCATCTTCCACAGTTTGTTCTCATCGGTCACTAAAGATCCAGCACCGACCTCCTGAATTTGTTCGGAGCAGGCTCCACCTCGGGCTGTCCCGGCCCCCTTCTCAGCGCTGTCCCCCTCCAGGGATGCGGCAGCCCGTCCGTCCCGTCCCTTCCCCTCCCGCAGAGCCGCA